AAAGATGAATTTTGGAGGTTTCCTTCCTTCCAATTGAACATTTATGAATAGTGTGATGAGAACTGGTGTTAATTCTCCTTTAAAAGTTTTGTAGAAGCCCAGCCAGATGACGTGGTGGTTAAGGCCATTGTATACTACATGGCCAAACTGGGAGTTTGAGTCCTGGACCGAGTGACTCTAAAGACACACCAGTGTTGAGTGTGTGCATGTCCAAACTCCTGAGAGGAGAATGGAGTAGAAGGGAAGAATGATTTTTCACATTCTCCCCCTTCTCTCTTTTTCTGCCCTTCATCCCCATGTTGTGCAAGCACAGACACTGTGTAGCCAAAATAAATAAATAAATAAATGGAACAAATTTTAAAAATATTTGTTTTCTTTAGAGTGCATGTGCATGCTGGGGAAAAACAGAGACAGAAAGTCATAAATAACTGCCCAGGGGTAATGACCACGCCACAATTCCTTCTCCTTTATTGTCGGGATTTTGAACATACATTCCCACACCTCCGTGTGAGTTTCAAGGACTTTAACCATGATCGGCCATGTGCGGGTCCTGTGACATAAATATTTGCTATCTGTGGGTTCTGATCCACGTGTATTTTATATGTCTAGAGATTAGTTCATTTCCTCTAGGTTTTTCCATTTGTTGGTGTATAGTCACTCAAAGCACGTATTTCTGTGCCATCCATGGTAATACTACATTTTTCATGCCTTATTTTCTGAGTGTTTTATTTTGCTTTTCTACTTAATAGTTTGTTTGGTTTATTTTCTCGAAACCCCAACTTTTTGTTAAATTTTTTTCAGTCATAGCTATAGGGTGTGTGCGCTTTCTGGAAAGAGATAGGGTTGGGGGGAAAGTGAGAAATCACCCGTCCTGGATGGTGACCATACTTCAGTTCCTTCTTTATTTTCCTCTTGAGATTTGGGACATGTACACATGTACCCAGTCATGCCAGTTCCGGGACTCAAATAGTACAGTCATTAATATCCAGCTGCGTTAACAATCATGCCACTGACTGGCTCTTAACTTTTCTTTTAGTCTCTCTTTTATTTATGCCTGTTCTAATTTTTTTTTGAGAGGTTTTTTGCTATATGGTGCCTACACGCACCAGAGAGACAGAGAGAGACAGAGAGACAGAAAGCAGGAAATCACCTCCCAGGGGAGAGGGCAATGCCATAATCCCTTCTCCTTCATTCTCTTGGAATCTTTGGCATGAACACACATGTGCACGGCATGAGTTTTAGCAAGCAGGTCCGGGACTCGAACTGCGTTCGACCACATGGGAGTCCAGTGACATAGCTATTACACTAACTGCTAGTCCCATGCCTGTTCTAATTTTTATTATTTTGTATCTTCTACTATTAATACTTTTGGGATATCTTGTTCCCACTTTTTCAGTTTTCTGGGATAAGTCATTAGGGTATTTATCATCTTTTTTAAACATGTGTGTGTGAGTGCTAATTGCTAGTTGTGATTAAATTATTACTTGTTTCAAGAAGTTTTCATTTGTATTCTTAATTTATTCAGTAATTTTGAAGCTACTCAGGGTAAATTATGTCATTTTCATGTATTTGTGAATTTTTGAAAGTACTTTCTGTTCTAGTTTAATTTTATCATATATGGTAACAAATAAGGTGGTATATATAATTTTTGTTTTCTTTTTAGTTTTAAAGACTTATTTTTTTCTCTATTATGTGGTCAGTCTTCAGAAATATTCTATGTGTGGCTGAGAAAAATATGTATTTTGTTTTTGGCAAAATCTTCTGTAAATGTTGATTAGTTTATTTGGATTATTGGATCATTTATGTTCTGAGTCTTTTTATCTTTTTGTCTAAATAATCTGTCCAGAGGTGACAGTACAGTGTTGAAGTCCACATGAATTAATACGTCACAATCAGTCTTTCTGTTCATATCTAGCAGTCTTCCTCTCTGATGGTGAATGCATAAAGTTTTATGATTTCTATATCTTCTTGGTGAATTAATCTTTTTAATACACTATGGCCTCTGACTATTTTTACACTTTATTTTTTAAAAGTTTTTACTATAGGGTGCATGCATTCTCACCAGAAGGAGAGAGAAGAAAAGTGAAAAATCACCCCCCCAGAAGGGATGGCTACACTGCAATCCATTCTCCATTCTCCTCTCAGGATGTTCGGTATGCATGCTCATGAGTTTGGTGTAATTTTCAAGCCTCCAAGTCTGGGACTAAAACTACACAATTAGAAATTTGGGATTCATCTGCCTTATCTTCAATGTACAAGCTTGTGTAGACTTGCTCTCTCTCTCTCTCAGATAAATATAAATTAATAAATTTTACTTATTATGATTATTTAACTGACTATATGGCAAATGTACTCATTGATCATTGGGACTGGGTTCCAGAAAGCAAGTCACCAGGTCCTGTTCCAGAACTCAAACCATGGTCTGATATGTAATATTCCAGCATCTTAACCTGCCTGCCAGCTCCCCTGCCCTCATATTTTTTAAATGTCTCTCTTTAATTTCAGTTGACTAGTACCTTACATATATTGTTAGTTATTGTGGTAGAATATCTTTATCCTTCAGTGTTTCTCTCTTAACCATGATACTGCCATTGACACCAAGATATATATACGTTTAATGTTAAAGAACATCCTAAATCTTCTTTTATTGAAGGCATTTATTATAAGTCAATATTTTAAAATATACCCTCTGTGGATGGAACACAAATTTCTTTTGATAGAGCTGTGAATATTATAAAATATATTACCACAAAGTCATTTTTAAAAATTTCTAGAATGGGAAAAAAAATCAAACCACCCTATGGAATGTAGTTTAAGGCAGCAGGATCCCACATGCTAATTGCATGATTTGATTCCTGAACCCAGTATCTTTTTCTTTTTTTTTTTTCCCTTGGAGAGATTTTCACTGTAGGGTGCATGCGCTCGCCAGACAGACAGAGAGAGACATAGAGACAGAAAGCGTTATGCACACGTGCCCGGCATGAGTTTTAAGCCACCAGGTCCGGGACACGTACCACGGTTGACTACGTGGGAGTCCAGCGACATAGCCATTACGCTAACTGCTGGTTCCCCTGAACCCAGTATCTTGAGAATCACAGTAGGCATATGTACTTGTACAACCCAAATCCTGAAAGAAGGGAGAAATGGAGGAACATAAATTGTGTCATGAACGTTCCTCCTTGGGAATGATTTTTCACTTTCCATCTGCATCCCCCAGAAACAAATGAACCCTTTATTAATTAATTAACATTTTTTTTTCTTTTTTTAAAATGGTCTGATTCTCTTTCTCTATCAGTAATTTCTTTTTGTATTTAATTTTATTTTAACTTCTTTTATACATTGAAGCACATATGTCACTTTGCTTGTAAAGTAAATGTTCCAACAGGAATACATTTCTCACCAGTCCAATTACGATTTTGTACTTTTTTCCCAATCTTGAATTCTCTTGAACCAGATCCACCATTATTGATTAGAATAGCTTCAGCTATCACTTGAATTTTTTTTTTTTTTTGGAGAGGTTTTGCTA